TGATTCATGAGTTGTCCAACTCCACTTGTTATTTGGGCTCCATTTTACAATGAGAATGTCCAAACTAAATGAGTCAAAGGCAGCCCAAAATTATAAGGAGTGGGGTCATTTGCACTTTTGCTATGTTGCGTAAAAAACATTTACAGATCATATAGTATTATATTTCACAAAGTTATGTTTGACGCCTCTAGAGAATTATTTCATAATATTTCACAAATTATGTTTGACGCCTCTAGAGAATTATTTCATAAGTTATGTTTGGCGCCAAGAAGTTATGTTTTGGTAGAGAGGATCAATTTGAAGGGTAAAAAGTTTAAAACTAGCCTATGTGAAGAGTAAAAATTAAAAATCAATCTATTAGAACACAAATCGTGTCATTAATGTCAAGTAGAGTGCTTGAGGACCTAACTAATAAATATTAAACTCACTTGGACATAAACAAATTAAATTACGAAATTACAAAACATAATCAAACAAATTCTTCCACGAAAAGAGGTGTGGCAAGTTACCAAGTCAGAATTAGTAATCAATCATGATACCATGTCTATAAAATCCGTAAATTTTTCATTTCCATTTGTTCCTCACTACTTATTTGTTAAAAAGGAATAATTAAGGTTAATATGCTAATTAAGGTGATCCTATATCTAACTAATTAGCAAAACTAGGTTCTTTGTACAGGAATTAGAGGTGGCCTGCTCCTGCTTATAGAAGAACTTGGTCTTTTACTAGTATAACAAGATGATAAAATGAACTCCTTGAAGCTTTCTTGAACATGATTGGCTTAGGAAGTGTATATGACTTGTATAACGACTTCTTCATTTTCCTATTACAACGATTTTCCTTCTTTGGAAGATCTTCTAAACTTGTAACTCTTCCCAAACATGTAAATGACTCCGATTTCCCCTCATAATACTCCGAAAGCCCTTTCCTACATTCAAAAATCTTCACATATTACAATACTGACGTTATACTATCAGTGTATATAAGTTAAATAATTTCAATTTAAATAACTTACTTGATTGGCAATTGAGCCATAAGAGTCGATAAATCGGACAAAGCCCCATCCGAAGATGCATCATCCATTGTCTCTAGTGAAGAATTACAATTTAAAATCGAAATCGTTGACGATGATTCTCCGATCGACGAAGACGATTGACTATTATTATCACCTTCATTAATCTTCCATGAAGAACAATTTTTGTTCTCCAAATTATTACCACATTGAAACCATTTATCTTTAAACATCTCAATATTGCCATCACCCATTTTAGGTATACTAAGAACAAGAAAAAAGTGAAAAGAAACAACTTTTTGGTCGATTAGGATTGGAAAAAAACATGGGATTTTTCTGAATGTTGAGGAAACATATATATAGGTGTCTATGCATAAGAAGATAATGTGTGGATTTAGTTAATTTTACAGATCAACATTAAAAAAAAATAGTACACGTGTCAAAAGTTGAATAGGAAGGGCAGGTCTTAAAAGTGGGAATTCTTGATAAATGAAAAATAAATAATTCAGAATTGAATATGTCCTGCCTGCTTGCCTTATCCTAATATTCGATATTATCTTCTTCTATAGTTGGTTGGTTTCCAATGAATGCCTTCAATATCGAGGATAAACATTATCATTTTATTTCCTGATTTAATGCCTTGTATAAATATTTTTTACGTTATTATCAAGTAGTAATTTTAATTTAATATGACACGTAATCAAGCTTTTTATCTCTAATTTGACTCTTTTTTTTTTCTTTTTTAGGAAAAAGTTATTATTTAATTTGTATCTATTTATAGATAATTGAATACTATAAATTAAAATTCCTTTATATTATCGACCCATAAAAAGTGAACTTATCGATCATTAGAATGAGTTAAGAAGATAGAAAGGGAAACCATCCATATCCGTGTCATGGTGTCAGTGTCTGTCTTGGTCTCTTAGGCCCTCAATTGGCTGACATATATATTTGAAAATTAAAAGATAATTCGGTACCTAAAGTATTTCGTGTTAATAGGATTGAAAAAAGACTATCTAGTTAAAAGTGTAAGGTTCTAATGCAATTATTAGTAATTGTTTTTATGTTCGAATTTATAATTTATAAATCATACAGAAATAATTTTATCATTGCTCGAAGATTCTTTATACATTAAAAAAAAACGTAATTTAATTATTGTTCCAAATTCTTATCAGAAACAATGGTTCTACATCAACTGATCAACACCACTGACTTGGCAAACACGAGAGGTATTACTTTAGTTCTTCTTTGGAAACCACTCAAAATATGATAAAATATAAAAGATGGGAAAATTATATATCCCTCATAAAGAAAGGAATGTTAAATATCTTACTAATATTAATGAAGGTTATAAGTTGTATATACATTTCAAATTAAAATTATAGTCTAATTTATGTCATTAAAGTGTTAACACATCAAAACTAACTTTTAGCAATAATATATGTAGAGATAATTAACAAAAAAGTGTTAAAGTCATGACTGACATTAATTATTTGTCATTAGATCCATTATTGTTATAGACTTAAACACATTTGCAAAGAATGTTAATTGTCACTAAAAAAAACATACTCCCCCTATTTCACATTAAGTAATTGAATTGTTGAGACATTTTTCATTTTTCAAATTAACTTAATTGTTCAATTTTTAAGACTACTTTTGGAATGTTCTTTCAATTTTACCCTTCATTAGTTAGTATTGAAATTAGTTATTATAATTAATGTAGTTATTTTAATCATAAATTTGACAATAATTAATAAGGGTAAAAATAGAAAGTTATGCCTAATTTATGTCTTAATTTTCTTTTCTTAAAGAGTGTGAAACACCTCAACAATTTAATTAATTTGAAATAGAGGAAATAGTTAATAACAATTAAGTTATTGCCATTAATTAGTCACTGTTAAAATTTATTTTTAATATAGCGGATAGAGTCTTTTAAGAACAAACAACGATACTTGAAGGGAGCAATATATTCTCTTGAAAAGAAATGGGTCAGCATAACGCTTACCACTTTAACTTAAATAGAAAAAAAAGAAGTGGCACCTTTTAAGTATAATATTGATGTAAAGATGTATTTAGTAGTTATATAATTCGTAACTTCTTGAATCTCAAAACGTTGTTGTTCTTCGATCCAATCATATTAATAACTCAATCAAAATAGTTATCTACAAAACGATTAAGAAGTCTTGTAATCCTTATAAATTTCTTTATTTGATCCGTATATGTGTGTTTTAATTTGAATAATTTTTTCGTCGACAAGTTGTTTGAGGCCTAACCGTTTTATTAAATCTAAATATAAATATTATAAGCCGGTTATCTACTTATATCTTTTGTGTTATTTTGAGATTTTTTAATAAATAAAAATATAATCTTTACTTAATTTAAACTTTGTTTTCATTTGTAAAATGTTGCAAAATCACTTTGATTCTTTCTTGTATAGATATAGATAAGGATGAGTAAAAGGACCAAAATATATGATCAGATGGTTGACGCAGCCACTAGTTTTTAAAATACTTTGTATATATCACCGCCCAACATTGAGACTCATCACTCACGTCTTTTTGATAATTTCCCATGCTTTCTTTGGCATATATTGTTGATTATTAAATGATGTTTAATTTGTCGGTGTGGAACTGTTTCTTTCGTAATTTGAAGTCTTGGATTTGAGTCTTAATAGTAGGGCTAGGGCTACACAGTACGAATTCAAAATAATTGAACTTTAAATAAATATTAAACATTGATTGAGAAATCTGTATAGATACTTCCATTATAAGTGGTAGTTAGAGTTACGATAACAGTATATCTTTTAAAAAAAGTAAATAAAATTTTGATTTCATTGTCACAGACTCACAGTATATAAATGTTAGACATCAAGGTTGATTTATATGGTTAGTGTTACTTTGTGCTGCGACTGCGAAGAGCACCAAGTAGAATCATCAATTAATTATGAGTACTTAGCCTCAAATAAGTTTTAAACAATCATAAAGTGTATTTGTCTCATCATTATTCAGGTCCGAAGAATCTAAACAAATACTTAGTTTGCAGAATCATTGAATATTGCTTCACAAGTTAGAATGTGCAATCAGATGTATATAAATACGAACAACACCATATATATAAAGTCACAATCTAAAATCGTACATGTTATAGTTATTTGTTCCAACACTTTTTAGAGAAGAAATCTTCAAAGAATCTACACGAACTTTGCTAGAATTGGAGAAGGAAGTAGGAGAAGAAGCAGAGGAAGTGTCTGTTCTTTTGAAATTGTAGAGAATGAAAAGATACCTTGGTTTCTCTCGTGAGAATCCTTTTATAATTCTAAAGTGACACAACTATTCAAATAAATATATATCTATTTTCTTTATCAAACACATCTGGAGAGAAACAAATGAGTGTCCTGACTTTCTGGCAAACAAAGGATACAGTATATAAAAATGGTCTTTAGTGGTGGTTTATTAGAGATATTAGCTTAATTGTCACTGTATATTTTTTTTAGAGGCAATTGACATTCTTTCTAAATATCCCTAAAAATTATAACGATATTAGATCTAATGACAATTAACTAATGTCAACAAAATATTTAATACTCTTTATTAATATGTATATTTATTACCGTTGAAAATTATCTTAGTTATAGTGACACAAGCATGTTAAAGATCTAATATTTGGAAAATGCGGTCAAGAATATGAAGTTTCTTTCTTAAGACTATAATCTGTTTGAATCTTTTCCAGTGTACCATTTTTTTGTGTTTTTGATTCTTTTGCAACTCTTCAAAACATAGGAAAACAGTTTACTCAAAAAAGAGATCCAATTAAAACATCTGTTTATTACAAAACGCGGTCTCTATAAAAAGTCTCACTAAAGTGATCAATACACAACACTGCTTCTTTCAGTAAACTATATAACTAAATTTATAACAAAAAGGAAATAGTAACCTTTAGGCTAGTTATTTCTTTGAGGGAAAAAAAAGAACCTCCAGTGACAATACAATCACCAAAAATACAAAAAAGATTAATTATGGGATTTATGAAATTTCAATAACCCTGGTCAATGAGGTAGTCTCCAATTTTCTCAACAACCATGTTACACTGTCCTGGAGTCACTGGTTCTTCGTAGATACCAAAAATCAGCGATTGACCTGTTTTCTTGATTGTTATTCCACCAGACCCCTACACAAAACACGACTTCAATTAATCTATTACCGTTAATTAATTGTATCATTTTTTATGTAGTGGTAGTTACAAATCTAACCAAACTTAGTAATTGCTCTAGGGCTTTTCAGAGCAAAACATTTACTAGCAGATTTGAATTGATTTTGATGAAAAGAAGAGTAACAATTAGGGGAGTGACCCGACACACGAATCCAGTCAAGGCTTCAACGTAGCTACCGAATATCGGTGGAACCAAAAAAATTAATTAAGGGAGTAGGGTAAACACCTTTTTGCCACGAATGACAGCGCCAGGTTCTCCTTGGATGACCATGTACTTTGCGCCGCTAAGGAATAGCCCAGTGGGAGCAAGAAATCCAGGTTCATCAAAATCTTTCATGATATTAATAATTTCCTCTGGTTTAAACTAAAACACAAAAATACAGCACATTAATTCAACAAGAAAGTATGCATGCAACATTATTTCTTAACAAAATTTATCAAGCAACGGTCATAACTTCAACAGTCATCCATGGCCCATCACCTGAGCCCTTGGTATAGACATGATGTTGGCATTACCTAACAGTTTGCTCAACTCCTCTTAACACTTATCACACACAATATGTTGTTCCAATAAATCGAACTCACAACCTTTATCATAATGTCAAAAGCTGCTATTAGCAAGGGCACATCATTATTTCTTAACAAAGTCTATTAAGCAATCATCATGTTCGACTATGATTCTCCATTTTAGGACAAACAATTAACCAGCATAATCATCAATGATGGATCAAATTTCACAACGAAAGGATAGATCCATTTCTGAGAGATGTAACATTGTTGTGAAACGAACAGATCCACAAGACTAGAGAGTAGTTACTCGATAAAATTACTATTAGCCAATTGATCCAAATATGACCATTAGTAATAAAATTCACAAGACTAGATACCATATATATACTCGATAAATTGTTATTGTAATTGATCCAAACATTACAATTATTAAAAAAAACATTTCCACAAGAGTACTACATAACACATACTCGATAAATTAGTTATGCATAAATTGATTCAGACATCATGATTATATAAAAATAACCTTAGGGAAGGCGGGGCTTTGAGCCCAAACGCTGCCATCAAAACCAAGAATAGCCGCCGAGGCAAGGCGATGGCCATCAAGGTCGCACATCAAGTGATCATCTACATAGGCTTGCCACGACATTTTGGCTACTCAAAAATGTTGTTTTTGTTTTTCCCTAATTAGTACCTAATTTGTTCTTGAATAAATTTTAACAATTGAGGCTTTGCAAAGTTGAATGGAGCAAAAGGGGGAAGAAGAGTATAAATAGGAAAGGTTTGCAAAAATTGGGAACTCACTTAGTGTTGGTTTTGAGGAAGAGAGAATGATGCGGGGTGTAACAAACACACGGCCCGATCTATTTTTTCTTACTGGATAATAAATATATATCTTAACATAGATAAATATTTTGTATACTTATATATATGGTTAAATTTAAATATAGGCCTAATCCATCGATGGCCACCTAAAGTTGACATAAATTTTCACTTAGACATCTTAACACTTACTACCAACGTGTGAAAAACTTATTCATTTTTATTTTATTTTTTTCGTCTTTTTCCCCATCTTTTAACCACCATCTCCCAAAACTTAAAATCCTTCCATGAAGAAGTAGATTTGATGGTGCTAATTAGTTGAAACAAAATCAACCAACATTATAGTATATCAAGCTATAATTAATTTGATTTATGAAAAAACATAAAACCAATAGAGAAAAACAATTGAGAAAGATTGAACAAGAGAGTCTTGCGTCTTAAGTGAAGAACTAATCATAAACTTGAAATAAAGAATTTCACTGAGAAAACTATTTGGGTTGGAGAGAGGTGGGGGTTCGGGTGGTAGGGGAAGATGATTTGGATGGGGGAGGGGTTTGGGGATCGGATGGGGGTGCTGGAGAAGATAATCTATGATAGGTTGTGTTTTTTTTAATTATTTGGGCTTTAAAAATGACACATGTCATTGAGTGATTGACCATTTTTTTTCTATATAAAATTCATTTTTTTTGTACATATATGCCACATGTGTCATCAGCGAGTGTGTTACACACACCTTATACATTTGGCTAATTGTCAAAAAGTGTCAAAACGATACAACGGGGCATGACATGAGGTGTCTAAAATGAACAAAACCTAATTAAAGTGTCTAAGTGAAAATTTGTGCCAACTTTAGGTGGTCACCGATGAGTTAGACCTTAAATATAAGGTAGTAGATATTATTAGATATATTATACGACTTCAAATCGCAACATAAAATTATGAAATGAAATCAGCGTTTTGATATGTGATTATATCAAGAGATGAAATCTCAAATTCTCCAAAAAGCATGATTTGGGAATTTCAAATCATGATTTGGAATTTTTTAAATACAAAAATTAACCCACAAGTTTATATTTTATTTTTAAAAAACCACATTTATATCTACTAACCGTATAAATAAAATTTATAATTCAAATCATTACTTTTTAAATCATTTATATCTCATATAACGATTATTCTCACTAACATAAAATTTATTATTATTTCAAATCAGTTCTTACTTTACCATTTATGTTCACCAAATTCATTATTTTTTATCAAATTTATTTAAAGACTTGTAGACTACAATTTATGTTTAATTTTTTTGAATTGAATTAATGTTTGATCAATAAATGTTGTATTTTTTAGAATGGCTTTGTGATAGAGTATTATGCGATTTTATTAACCTTTGCTTATTTGATAAAATTATATAAAGAATTTGGATAATTTTGATAAATTTTACAACTTATAAGGTTTTTATGTATATGAGAAAACATACAACAGAAAAAAGTCCAAATTGTATGTCCAAACAATACACTAGCAATGTGTGTCAATTCCCATAAAAAGAAAATCTACTAAATACCACTAACAAAATAACACTTGTTAAACTTGAGCGCTAACATTATGTGGCAAATTTGGAAAGGTAGGAATAGATGGTTGTTTAATCAGGAAAGGTTAGAGCCAAGATATATTGTTTCTAGATCTATGTTTAAGTATGAAAGTTTTTCTTCTTGTTCCTCTAGAAATCATCCTGTGATTAAACTAACAAATTTGCAAGATGGCATTTTATTGTTACAGATGCAGGATTGCAGAATTATGGAAGGGCAAGTATCGATATTGTGGCTTTGGATAGCCTTGGAACATGCTTCATGTCCATGGATTCCCAATTCAATTTGTTGGGAAAGTCATGACTTGTGAAGCGATTGCTATTAGGAAAACTCTTGAATATGCTATCAGTAAGGGATGGAAGAGAGTGAAGATTTTATCATATGCTAAAAATGTTGTTGATATGATTCAGAAATGAGTAACAACTTCATGAGAGATAGAAGTGTTGTGTGAAGACATTTGGAAGCTTTCAAGCATGTTCAATCATGTAGAATTTATTTATATTTCTAGATCTGTGAACAAAATAGCGGATAGTTTAGCTAGATACTCTATCCTTCTCCCAAGTTGGATCATCCAGATGCAAAAGATATGTTTAAACTATGATTTCCGTTGATGCAATAATAAAAGGGATTCTGTTTCGAATTCTTTTCCAAAGATTCCCTCAAAGGAAAAGCGGAAAATTCATTGGGATAGATGCAGGGCCAATTAATTTCCGCCAATTGTAGGAAGGGGTGAAACCTGACCTCCGCATTACAAAACTAGGAGTGAGAGCACATCCTTACTCTCTAACTTATCAAAACAAAAGGAAATAAAAAAGGAGGAGGGTTGCTCCTCGTCACATAAGCTTACAAAAAATTCTAGAATTCATAAACTAGAAGCAACCAATATAGCTAATTGTAACTAACTAGATAATGAAAGGCCAATTACTGGACCAATATTACAATTTTATATATATTTATAATAGAAATTTAATTAATTTTTGGGGAAAAAAATATTATTGTTGTGCCGTAATTTAACTATATCTTTAGAAAAATCACTTTTTGAAATGTTCTAAGTATAAATCAATTTTGAGAAATACTTAGAAAGAGTCGCCACTTAATTTTTTAAAGAAATTAAGAAAACTTATAATTTTCAAAGATTTAAACAGAAAAAATCATTTGAAGATACCAAAGAAGGTTCGGGGTTCAATTTACACTTCGAGAAGGATTTAAGCATTCGAAGTGTCCGCTAACATGCGGTTGACCTGCGACTTGACTAAAATGTATTTGACTATTTTTTGAAAAAATAATTTAACATAAAAATATATAATAACTTACACTATTCGATTAAGTTTGAAAAATAACTAAGGAATGAACCATTTTATTCTATCTTTTTAGAGGAAGAGACGTAAAATGAAAATATTTGAATTAAGGTGCAAGTGATTAGAAAACTAATAAAACTAGACTAATTAGAATTTATTTAGTTCATTTTAAAATAAATTAAACCAATTTAATAAATTAAAGTATGAAAAATCATTTTGAATTAATTGACTAACCTTTTGAGAAAATAACTAAGTAAGTATTTATTTATTTATTTATTTATTTACACTATTAGATTAACTTTAAGAAAATAGTTAAACAAAGAGCGATTTTATTTTTTAGGAAAAATGGGACCTTAATTGAAATATTTGATTTAGAGACAAGTAATAAGAATTTTAACGAAACTAAATTAGTTGGTTTTTATTTGAGTCATTTTTTGGTTTATGAAAAAAAAAAAAAACTATTTTAAACTAAAAAAAAATTGACTAAAGATTATAAATGAAAATACAAAAGTTGATAAAAATAAGATTTTGTTAGAAACAAAACAACATAGAGAAATAGTTCGTCTTTTGGGGAATTCGACTAAGTTGATTTACGATTATAAAGTTAGAGTTAAACAACAAACAATAAATAATCACAATTAAATAATTAGAGAGTAAGGGAGAAATTTGAATTTGGGCCCCCTTTTGAGCCAATTTCGTTGCTGTTTTTGGAGTTTAACACAATTCCCGTTTTTGGTATACAGCTTATGTATATTAGTGTATATCGACATGTATATCAGCCCTTTTCATGTATTTCTTGCTTCCAAACACTTGTATTTCACTCCAGCCCTGTATTCCTGCGTTTTTGACCTGTATATCGATGTATATAGTTGTATACATCTTGTATACAAACCCTTTTTCGGACTTTCGGACACCTGCAATCTGGATTTCCAGCCCTATATTTCCGTTCTATTGCTTTGGCTGACTCGATAAGGGGTAAGGTTGGGCCTTTGGACCAACGAAGAGATGCAAGGATAGGAAATGAGAGTCCAAAGTGGACTCGGGGCAGATTTCACATGCAAAGAAAGAGTGATAAGAGGGTTAGTCCGACGCATATCTAGCAAAATAATTCAAAACAAAATTAAAAAAAAAAAACTCAACTATAATGCCATTGTAAAAGAAAATCACGAGGCAATGCTTTTGGATTAAAAAAAATGTATCAGTAGCTAATCCAAGGCTGATTGTCCTTGATTACAGATATTGGCAAATGCATATTAAAAGAAAATTAATACCATATAAGTGATTTAAGAGAGTTTGGCATGGAGAGACATTTATTACAATGAAAAAAAGAAGAAGCTAAAACTAAAATAAGGAAATGAAAGCAACTTTGTCATTTTCATACACTATCCAAAGTAAGAAATAAAAGGAAAACGAAGAGGCTATAAAGAGAGGCAGAATTGCAGCAAACTTATCACTTACAAATTCATGTTCTTAAACAAATTGGTGTGATAACCACGTTGAGAGCCTCTAAGTCCAACGGTTAAGCACATAGATCAATGTAGTCTTAGCACATATTTAGATAACTATCACATTTTTGCAGCCTAATAATCTAAATTAAACCAGATACTGGGCATCTAATTTAAAGCTCACGGTTAAGCATTCGGTTAAAGGAAAACGAGTGTTGGAACGAGCCAAGGTTTGGAAGGCAACAAAATCTCGTCCTTGACCTTAAGTCCACTACGAGTAGCAAATGATTTTTGACGGGAATCTAAATGAAACAGAGACAACACAAGCTCAATTCTAACATGACACATTGGACCATAAGATTTTAACAAGACTCAAATGAAGAGGAAAAGAAATTATCAAATCCAGAAACATAATAAACAACATGCTACTGCCACAACTACTAATTCTGAGACTGCTGTGATTTTAAAGACAATAACAAATAACAGCCCACAACAAACAGAGGGACGGACACTTGGGTAGGACAATGCAAACACGACAATATGTTCGACTCGGCAGATTCAGGTGTACAACAACAGAGACATACTAGCAACTTGTTAAGACCGAAACGAGTTTAAACCAAGAAAAATTGAGCTATGAGACTAAACATTTGGAAGGATTCGCACTATTTTAACTACATTTGAACGCTAAGACGA